CAGGAGCCAGGTGCTTCTCCTGGTCTGCCATGGGGTGCAGGGCCCAAGGACTTGGGCCATCCTCCACTGCACTCCCGGGCCACAGCAGAGAGCTGGCCTGGAAGAGGGGCAACCGGGACAGAATCTGGTGCCCCGACCAGGACTAGAACCCGGTGTGCCGGCGCCGGCTCCAAAATAAACTTCTAACTCCATTTTCCATGGACTTTTTGGAGTGCCCTGGTCTATACCCGCGCCACACACACACACACACACACAGCATTTAGACTGCGAAGCAGCCACTGGCGCAGGGGGCCCCCAGGCGCGGGGAGAAACCTGATTCACGGTCCTGGAAGGAGCCTTCGAGAACATCCAGTCCGACCGTCCTGTCCGACCGTCTCATTGTACAGATGAAGAAAATGAGTCACAGCGCCGGCCACGGGCCAAGGTCACAGTCAACAACCTGAGGTTCCCAGGCTGTCATGGCAGCCAGGGCCTCTCTGCCGGACAACTAGCGCGGGAGGGGCAGAGGATGGAGCCCCAGCCCTGCACGCCACCCTCTCTGTCCAGCCTCCCCGCCCCCAACCCCTAGTCGGTGGTGCTGAGGACAGGGCGACCCTGGAGGCCAGCCGGAAACCAGACAGCTAGGGCAGGCCAGGCTGCAAAGACAGACCCTCAGGGAGGCACTGTCTAGATCTTTCCAGAAAGCCCCAGCACCCCCACCCCCATGCACCACGGTCCACATTTTCAGTCCCTGCAAAGCCGGCAGCCGGTGTAATCCGTCAGCTGCCCGGCCTCTCCCGGGGAGAAGCAGCTGCCTCCAAGTCTCTGGCATGTTCTCTGGAGGCTGAGCCAGCGAGGGAGGGGCTGGCTCCCACATTTGGCAAAGGCTGGCTGGCCAAGGGTGCATGCAGTGGGTGCACGGCCGGAGCCTCCAGAAAGGCGCAAGGGGCTGCTTGTGCGCGTGCGTGTGTGTATGTGTTGGGGGGGGGGGTAGGTGGCCATGGTCACCAGTCTGCTACAAAGTGCCCCAGGTTTGAGGGCTGGGGGAGCAGGGGCTCGCCCATGAAGGAATCCCCACACCCTGCAGGGGCGAGGACCTTCGCCCACCACACACACACACACGTGCACCGTGGCTTCTGGGAGATCTCTAGGGAGTGGAGTTTACTGGAGGGAGAGCAACTGGTTAGAGCAGTTAGGGCCCCCAGACAGGCAGCTTGGCTCAGCCCCTGTGCTCTGGGAGCCCACAGCCCACACGCCTGCTTGCACTGCCTGAGAATTTTTTTTTTAAGATTTTATTTATTTATTTGAGAGGTAGAGTTACAGGCAGTGAGAGAGAGAGACAGAGAGAAAGGTCTTCTGTCAGTTGGTTCACTCTCCAAATGGTTGCAACAGCCAGAGCTGCGCCGATCCGGAGCCAGGAGCCAGGAGCTTCTTCCACGTCTCCCACGCAGGTGCAGGGACCCAGGGACTTGAGCCATCTTCTACTGCTTTCCCAGGCCATAGCATAGATTGGAAGAGGAGCAGCCAGGACTAGAACCGGCACCCATATGGGATGCCAGCACCGCAGGTGGAGGATTAACCTACTGCGCCACAGTGGGGGCCCCAATTTTTTTTTTAATTTATTTGAAAGGCAGAGTTATGGAGTGACACAAAGAACTCTTCAATCTGCTGGTTCACTCCCCAAATGGCTACAATGGCCAGGACTGGGTCAGGCAGAAGCCAGGAGCCAGGAACTCCATCCGGGTTTCCCACGCAGGTGCAGGGGCCTAAGCACTCGACCATTTTCCACTGTTTTCCCAGGCACATTAGCAGGGAGCTGGATCAGAAGTGGAGCAGCTTGGACTCTAACCGGCGCCCTCATGGGCAGATGGCGGTCTAACCCGCTGCACCACGGCATCAGCCCCTTCCTGAGAACTCTGGCCCCTGTAGGACAGAGACCTGGAAGCCCCCCACTCCTTTCTCCACTTTGTGACCCTGGGGCCCTTCTGTCAGATTCCTTTTCTCTTAATGCCCCCTCTCTGAATCCACCACAATTAAAAACCCTCATGGTGCCGGCCAGCACTCCTGGGCACCAGGCACCTGCCATGCACACTATGGGTTGCACACTGACCACAGCCCTGAGCGGCTGGCTGCGTTACTCGCCCCATTTGCACACGAGGGCGACGTGAGCTCAGAGGGGTCACCAGGCCAGAGCTGGCAGCAGTGCCCAGATACAAACCCAACCCTGTGTGACCCCAAAACCCAGTTTCCCCACCCGCACCCCTGCTGCCCAGCTCCCAATCCCCTCCCTGTGATGGGCAGGGTGAGCTAAGCACCATCCCACTGAAGATGGATTCTGAGAGAATGAGCAGAGCCGTGGGTTGCTGTGCCCTGGATTGCCCAACTCCTGGCTGGGGCAGCATGGAGGCAGCTCCCCGCCCTGGCTTCAGGCGAGATGGAAGCAGTGATGAAGGGAGCCTGTGTCTACAAAGTAGACAGGCAGGCAGGCAGGCAGCCCCACCGCCGCCACCAGCGGCGTGGCTGGACCGGGCAGGACCACACTTGAAAGCATCTGTGACCACACCTGACAGCTCGTTCCAGGGTGGGGCGCCCTGGACTCCAGTCTGGGCCGAGGTGGGCGAGCAGGGACGGGTGAGAACCCTCCCTAGCTGCTGACCTCATGGGGCGTTTATAGAGCGGGGAGTGCTGGGGACAAAAGGCCTGGGCCTTCCAGAAGCTGAGGCCCCGAGGGGGTCCCCCTGCAGCTCCTGAGGGAGACCAGCAAGGGAGGTGGGGCAGAGACCCTGTCTGCCTCCCCCTCCTCTTTTCATTCCCTTGACCCTCAGAAGCTGGGCAGCTTTGCTGGGCAACCTCAGAGTCACGGCCCAGCCCCAGGTGCTCCCTGACGGGCAGCAGGCAGGCAAGAACCAAGAACAGCGGCTGTTAGGTGCTGAGGGACAGCGGGCTAAGTTACAGCTTGTGCCACCTGCATCCTGTATCGGGGCGCCAGTTCAAGTCCCGGCTGCTCCGCTTTCAACCCAGCTCCCCACTAATGCACCTGGGAAGGCACCAGAGGGTGGTCTGAGTTGCTTGGGCCCCTGCCACTCACGTGGGAAACCCGGATGGAGTTCCTGGCTCCTGGCTCAGGCCTGCGGTCATTTGGGGAGTGAATCAACAGGTAGATCTCTCCTCCTCTATCTTTTTTTTTTTTTTTTTTTTTTTTTGACAGGCAGAGTGGACAGTGAGAGAGAGAGACAGAGAGAAAGGTCTTCTTTTGCCGTTGGTTCACCCTCCAATGGCCTCTGCGGCCGGCACACAGTGCTGATCCAATGGCAGGAGCCAGGTGCTTCTCCTGGTCTCCCATGGGGTGCAGGGCCCAAGCACTTGGGCCATCCTCCACTGCACTCCCTGGCCACAGCAGAGAGCTGGCCTGGAAGAGGGGCAACTGGGACAGAATCTGGCGCCCCAACCGGGACTAGAACCCGGTGTGCCGGCGCTGCAAGGCAGAGGATTAGCCTATTGAGCCGTGGCGCCGGCCGTCCTCCTCTATCTTTTCATTCTGTCTTTCAAATAGAGAGAGAGAAAAGGAGAGAGACCCTCCATCTGCTGGTTCACTCCCCAAACGGCCACGACAGCCAGGCTGAAGCCAGGAGCTTCTACGGCACAGCACCAGCCTCCAAATAATTAAATTAAAAAGAAAGGAAACAGGCTCAGAGAGGGGAGGGGGCTTCCTGCTACCCCAGCCTCTCAGCAGTGAGTGACCGGGAGTCTGGCTGCTGTGGGTGGGGAGCCCCAGCCCCCGTGTGTGTCTGGGAGAGGAAGCAGGGAGCGGCAGGGCCACAGGCTGACCCTGCCTGAGTTTTAGGGAAGACCAGGGCTGTCACCCAATTTCTTGGACCTTTAGGTTCCTCTCACAGAACGTCTACCAGGGGAGAAGGCAGGCTGGACAGGGGGTGCCCGTGAAGTGCAGACAGAGCAACTGTGGAGTATAAAGGATGGCCAGCGGAGTCGGGGGAGGGGGGTGTCGGAGGAGGCAGGTGGGGGTGGGGTGTGTGTGTGTCATGGAGGAGGCAGGTGGGGGTGGGACTGTGTCAGATGGAGGAGGCGGGTGGGGGTGGGGGGTGTGTGTCATGGAGGAGGCAGGTGGGGGTGGGAGTGTGTCAGATGGAGGAGGCAGGGGAGGGTGGGGTGTGTGTCAGATGGATGAGGCGAGTGGGGGTGTGTGAGAGGGGGCAGGAGGGGGTGGGGTGTCCAGGCTCACAGCCAGCTAGAGTGAACTGTACCACGTGGAGGCCCCTTGCCCTGCGCCCCGAGGACCATCAATTGCAGAAAGGGAAACTGAGGCCCAGCAAGGAGATTTTGCCCCTAGTCACAGCAGGAAGCCAGGGAGCCAAGCCCCGCCTGCTCTCAAGTTTGCTGCACTTGAGGTTCCCTGGCCAGGGTTTAAGGGAAGCCAGGTCCTAGCAGGGAGCCGGAACAACAAACTTCCTCCAGACCCCTCTCTCTCAGCGCTAGAGCTTGGAGGTCTCTGGTCCGGGTAGGGGGGAAAGGCCAGACCCCACCAACTCCGCCTCCTCATCCCCTTCCAGGTGGATGACGACAGCGAACCAGGATGACCCAGCAGGCGCATGACGTCACTGCATTCCCTGCTAACCCAATCACCAAGCATTTTCGCTGCCAGATTTTCCAGATGGGGAAAGTGAGGCAGGAGCCTCACTGCCACAAGCCAGCCCGCCTGGTGGTAGAAGCATGCGCCCCGCCCCAGGGACCCCCCGTGGTCACTCTGGGACCACCCAACCTCCTGTGACCCCTGGGTCTTCCACAAAAGACACGGGCTGGCCGCCGGCCACTGCGCTTGAGCGCGCAGGCTGTAGGGCCCGGCCGTGGGCGCGGCTCCAGCCACGCATTTCGCTTCCCTAAACCGGAGAAGGTTCCAGATGTGGGCAGAACCTTCCACGGCCCGCCCCTGTAATCACGGGGGAGGAATTCAGGGGGCGGGGCAGCCCCCAGCTGGTCATTGCCATTAATAGAGACCCGAAGCACCGCCTGCTAAAAATACCCGGCTGGAGACCCATAAAAGCGCGTCTGGGGCCGCAGCCCCGCACTTCTCCGCGCCCCTGCCCCGCGCACCGCAACCATGACCGAGCGCCGCGTGCCTTTCTCGCTCCTGCGCAGCCCCAGCTGGGACCCGTTCCGCGACTGGTACCCGGTGCACAGCCGCCTCTTCGACCAGGCCTTCGGGCTGCCGCGGCTGCCCGAGGAGTGGGCGCAGTGGTTCGGCGGCAGCAGCTGGCCAGGCTACGTGCGGCCCCTGCCCGCCGCGGAGGCCCCCGCCGTGGCCGCGCCCGCCTACAGCCGTGCGCTCAGCCGGCAGCTCAGCAGCGGCGTCTCGGAGATCCGGCACACGGCCGACCGCTGGCGCGTGTCCCTGGACGTGAACCACTTCGCCCCGGAGGAGCTGACGGTCAAGACCAAGGACGGCGTGGTGGAGATCACGGGTGAGCCCCGGGCCGGGGCGCAGGGGCCGGGGGTGGGGTGGGGTGGGGTGGAGTTAAAAGTCCGCCGGAGCGCCGCCCCGGCCCGCGGCGCGGCAGGGGCGCAGGGGACGGCGGGGAGCGGTGCGGGCTGCCCCTGAGGGTCCCTCTATTGGGGGCAGAGGCGCTGCTTCCAGCCAAGACCCCCGCCCCAAATCAGCAGCGCCCCAGGACCGCGCAGGGAGACTGGGGGGGGGGGGGCGTGTGCCCCGCCCCACGCGCGCCTGCGCGGCTGGCCACTCCCCAAACTCGGAACTTTCCAGAAGTTTGAGGGTCCCGACAGTCAGGCGCACGCCACACCCCCTGCCAGTCTCCAGCAGTTGCTGGCTCAGGCTGTGCCTGTCTGGGGCCCCAGCTACCCCTGAGCAAGTGGAGGGGCCCCCTTCCCGTGACCTCTGACCTCCCTCTGCACCCCCCCAACCCAGGCAAACACGAAGAGCGACAGGACGAACACGGCTACATCTCCCGCTGTTTCACCCGGAAGTACACGTGAGTCCTGGCCCTGGCCAGCTAGGGGGTGGGAACCCGGGGAGGAGTGACCCCTGCCGCCCAGCGCTGTGTTAACTCTTTCTTGCCCTCTTCCTTCCCTGCCGCGTCCAGGCTGCCCCCCGGCGTGGACCCCACGCTGGTCTCCTCCTCGCTGTCCCCTGAGGGTACGCTCACCGTGGAAGCGCCGCTGCCCAAGCCGGCCACGCAGTCGGCGGAGATCACCATCCCGGTCACCTTCGAGGCCCGCGCCCAGATCGGCGGCCCGGAAGCCGGGAAGTCCGAGCAGCCTGCGGCCAAGTAGAGCGCCCTCGCGCGCCGCCCAGCCCCCAGCACCCACCTGCGTGCCCTTTTGATACTGTTAAGCTTCTGGTCTTCGCAAATAAAGTTCAAAGCAGCTGCTTGCTCCTGCCTGGGACCCTGGTGTTTGGAGGGGGGAGGGGCGGGTCACATGGCGTCATTTTGGCACAGAGGGGTAGACGACCCTAGGGGTCTCCTGTCCATGGAGAAGGGGAATGATTGCAACCAGACAGGGCCAGGTGTGGGAGTCTGCAAACCCAGGAGACGCACCTGTCCCAGGTGAGGAGGAACTGAGCAGGAGTAGGGGAGGGCGCTTGCCCGGAGCTCCCAGACCCTCGGTGAAGCAGGCAATTCCAGGTGACTGAGCCCACCTGGGCAGCCCCTTGGTGCGGCATGGGCTCTGCCCCTGCCCCTGGGCACCGTGCGCAGGGGGAAGGGGGTGTGGCCCAGGTGTTGGTCCGGAAGGCTGTGATCTTGATATGCAGAGCTGCCTTGACTTGCCCGGGCGGGGACAGCCACACCCCCTCAGCCCTCTCCCTCTTCTGCCTGGCCCTCCCTGCCAGCCTCTTCCCTAGACTTAAGGAGAGGGTCCCGACGGATCTGAAAGAGGCAGGAAGCCAATGGGGGCTTTGAAGTCCAGTCTCAGTCCGCAGGAGCTTCAGGGACCCGGCATGGTACCTGCGAGGTCTCCCGGCTGGAGGTGTGGACGGACACGCCCACTGTCATCCATACCCTCCTTTCCCCGGGCTGCTGCTCCTGGAACACACCCCACACTCGCAGGGCGCACACACACAGCTCCCGTTACAATGCCCACGTCTGAAACCAGAGCCCTCTGAGGCCCGGCTGGACCCGGAGGGCAGCCAACAGGGAAATAAACACGGGTGGCAAGAATTGTCTGCCTGGCCAGCGGCCCGGCCCGGGCGCGGCCTCGGCTGCCCGCCCTTCAAGTCTCAAGTCCAGGTGGCTCAGCCTGCCACCCCTCCTCCCCACCGGCCCCCACACTCGACGGGCGCCAGCTCGCACCCTGGCTCTGCTGGCCGGTTCCCTTGCTGCTGGCACCAGAAATGCCCAGGCCTCCGGGGCGTGGCTGCACGGTAGTTAGCAGTGGCTGAGCCTGCCCCACGGTGCCCCTGCAGGGTAATCCTCACAGAAGGGCTACAATTACTCCAGCTTAACAACTGGGAACAGCATGTCTCAAAGTCCCAGTCCTGGAGGGGCCGGGAGGGGACACGCAGGTGGCCACAGTCAGGGGAGGGCAGGGATGCAGCTGAGCCTGGCGCTTAGGGCTGCTCTGGGGACCCAGGTGGCAAAGAGCTGCCAGGGGTCTCAGGCCCACAGTCCTGGCCGTGGCCTGGAGCGGGAGCTTGGGTTCTGTAGGTGTCACGGTGGGCGCGTCCAAGGGCTTGAGGCCTTGGAGGCTCTGGGCATCCTCTGGGGGCACGAAGGCCCGGGAAACAAAACAAGGAGGTGGGGAAACTGAGGCAGGTGCCCAGTGGGAGGAGGAGAAAGCCAACGGCAAGTCCAGGCTGGGTCGCCCTGCGCTCACAGCTCAGCGCGGAGGATATGGGGTCTCGGTTGAGAGCGTCTAGCACTGAGCAAGGCCTTGCTTGGTCTCCAGGGGCAGTTCCGGCTCTCCCCAGCCTGGTCTGGGTCTGTCCCTGAAGCCCTCTGATGTGCTTCAGGTCCGGGGACGGAGACGTTGGCCTTGACCCACGACTCCATGAGTGGCAGCACCTGCTCAGCCTAACAGCATCCAAGGGACAAAGCTGCATGCTCCTGGCTGATGGCAAAGGCTGGCCAGTTCAGTCCCTGGAGCGGTGGCCCTCACTGGCTCTGGCTCCCCAAGGGTCTGGGGGTGCCCAACCCACCTGTGCCTTCCCTGTTGGCACCGCCTGTGGGCCCAGCACCCAGCTGGTCGGAGCAAGTCCCTGCTGGCGAGGGGGCGTGGAACAGCAGTGACAGAGGACCAGGGCCAGGAGACAGACAGGAGTGTGTGGCCTCTGTGCTGGGTGGGCTTCCCTTTGGGGGCTTAGAAGCTCTTAGCAGGGGGTCCAGGCCAGATCCCTGCTTCAGAAAATCTTCCGGAGCAATGGCTGTGAGCGGGTGAGCAGAGAAGCGGGGCTCCTGTGCTACCTGCCACGAGGAGAGGGGTTGCCAGGGCAGGTGCCAGTCTGCATGTAGGGCGGCGGGGGGCAGGGAGGGGACAGAGCCTGCTCCCTCTGCCAAGTCACGGAGCCCTTGCCCATGGCGGGGGCCGGGGGGTGGGGGAGGGGAGAGGCTGCTGACGTCACAGCCTGCAAGCCGGGGCAGACTGGGGAGTGGATGACTTCCAGGTCTTCTTGTCTCTCCTGCTATGGAACTGCCCAGGGACGGGCAGCTACAGACCTCGTTGCGGGAGCTCCAGAGGACCCCGCCCCATGCTGGGCCCACAGGCACTGCCGCCGTAGGGTTGAAAAGTCGCAGACCCTCTAGTCTCTCGGCAGCCACCCTGGCAGAGCCGAGGGCTTGCCAGGCGCCAGGCTCAAGGGGGGGCAGCTGTTCACAGGCTTCTCATAGACCCCCTGATACCGCCCCTCCCTGCCATGCCCACAGGCACACACCGGCCCCCCGCGGGCTGAGGTCAGGACCACCACCCAACGCCCAAAGGGGCAGGAGGAAGCTGCAGGGTTGAGGGCAGCAGGGAGGCTGGGCTGGTCTTAGCCAGTGTGGCTCTGGCCCCAGGAAATTGGGGCTAGGCCCCGCCCTGTTGCTGCCCTCCCAGGAAAGTGGACCCCAGGAAGGTGGGGGACCTTTCTCTGAAGCTTCTGAAGGGCACATCCGATGGGGCGCAGCAGCACAGGCAGCTTCGAGAGCCCTGCGCCGGTCATGTCCGGAGCGAACCAGAACAAGGCGCCCCCTCTGTGTCAAGGCCCAGGCCTTGGACCCCTGGGGAAGTTTCCACGCCCAGAATCCAGGTGACCCGATCGGCCCCGACAGGGACTGCACCTGCCCAGGGTCATTCAGCAGGTGAAGGCGGAACAGGGCACCATGCGGTCCCTGCAGCCCGGGACTGGAGTGAGTCTAGCGTGTGCCAGCCTTGAGCAACACAGGGTCCCACGGCGGGGGAGACCCACGCGTGAGCAGAAGTCACTCCGCCCCTGGCGCTGTGCTCCGAATGGCAGGCGCTGGTTTGTGCGTCCCCACTTCTACCCAGCCGGCTGGACCCCACTGTGCCTCCCAAGGAGGAGCTTGGGTTTCTTGGAAGAGACACTCTCTCATCTGCCAGTTGGTGCAGGGAGAGTTGGCAGCACCAAAATGCCAGGACTCCCAGGCTTGGCTCATGAGAGCCAGCTCTGGATCCTGGGCGGGAGGGCTGCCCGGCTTCAGGTCTGGGAACGCCTGCTTCCTGGCCAGCCTGGTGCTCAGCCAGGCTTCGCAGCTCCCAGCACAAGACAAAGACCCTGACTGAGGACCCTGGGGGAGGCAGACGCGAGTGCAAAACTCCCTGCCCCAGATAGGTTTCTTTGGCATATTCTGAATCTGTTACTTGGAGAAATGGCAGATTTTTGCACACAGGAGCGGCTCTGAAAAGCTGTTCTTTTTTAAAAAGAGAAATCTCCATCCATCTGCTTTAGCAAACAGCAGGTGCGGGCCAGGCGTTCCTAGGCAAGATCTTCCCACAGGAAGCAGAGCCTGGGGATCTGACACCTGGCCCCGACAGAGGATGGGACAAGTGACTGTCACTGGATGACTTCATCTACCTCACAAGACAGATCCTGTAGGTCCTGTTCCCTGGGCACCTCCTCTCCCCAACCAGCCTTACTTAGTCTTTGCCACCTCCTTTCCTCTGGCTCAAGCCCCTGTGCTGTGCTTAGCTATAGACAAGCTAACCTGTCCTGTCGGTCTTTGTTTTGTTTTGTTTTTAAGATTTTATTTATTTGAGAGGCAAAGTTACAGAGAGAGAGGGAGAGACACAGGGAGAGGTCTTCCATCTGCTGGTTCACTTCCCAGATGGCCACAACGGCCAGAGCTGGGCCGATCTGGAGCCAGGTGCTTCTTCCGGGTCTCCCACGTGGGTGCAGGGGCCCAAGCATTTGGGCCATCTTCCCATAGCTTTCCCAGGCCATAGCAGAGAGCTGTATCGGAAGAGGGGCAGCTGGGACTTGAAGTGGAACCCATATGGGGTGCGGGTGCGGCAGGCAGAGGGTTAGCCCAGTACGCCACAGCACTGGCCCCTCCGGCCCATCTTTGAGTCCCATACTGTGTGTATGTAATTTGTGTGCTTATGCGCGGAATACTTTTTTTTTTCTGCCCAACTGTCCATTGTTAGTCTGTTTCCTAGACTAAAATTACTGGCCCTTCGCAAGGAAAACAAATGAACTTAAACCTTCTCTGCCAAGTGCCCATACCGGCCCCTCCTTGCCTTCCTTCCCATCCGGGACACCTGCCAATCTGGGACGCCTACCGACCTGGGCCCCCGCCCTGCCCAGCCCGAGGTAGCGGTGAGGGCAACACCAACCTGCAGTGGCAGGAAGTCTGCCTCCCTGCCCTTCCCCGCCCCCCTCAGGGCTGCACAAGGCACAGCCCACCAGGAAGGCCAGGGTCGAAGCTGCAGGCACAGATGAGGTTCAGGAAGCAGCTTTGGGGCAGGGCTTGGGGTCTGTCCAGTCCTGCCCGGGGCCCAGTTTCCATCCTGAGGGGCCTCGTCGGCCTCTGCTGGCCTGCGGCCATCATCAGACCCAGCTGCAGGCTGGGTATCTGGGGGGCAGGGGGAGAATCCAGAAAGGTGGGCTTACCCAGAGCTCAGAACAACGGGAGGAAGTCCCAAGTCCCAGGGGTGGCTGGGAACAGGAGCGGGGCCCTGGGCAGGAGCAACAAGGGCCTGCTGTGACGGTGGCCATCAGCCTTGCCCCTGACCCCCGGCAGGCACTCGGGAACCTGTTTCTCCCCCCACAAGGGGAGTTCCCGCAAGTCCTCTTAGGGATGGCGGCAGTCTGTGTTCAGTATGGGGGACACGGGACAGCTGCGTCAGTCCATCACTGGTCACTTGATCAGGGGGTCCCTGAACCCTGGCCAAGCCCCCTCCACTCTCCAAGCACCCCCTCCTCGCTCCCTATGGGCCTCAG